CATGCGAAATTCAAGGGAAACGTCAGCTAAACTCATATCATTGTGGTAAAATTCTACTACCAGTCCCTCATCACCTTAGACGAAATAGGGTGAATTCATCTCATTACACTGATTTACTAGTATTCTCGAAACCCTACTTTAATACGAATACAAAAAATAGAAGTTAGCCTTAGATGCTAAGGAGTATTCGAATGATCAATACGAAATTGACCAACGTTATTAGTCCATTACATTCCAAGTTTGCCGTGCCGTTCTACCAAATAGTTGCATCCATCAGTTCAATAATTCCTTTTTTCAATGCGGAAATAAATATAAACGAATTGCGATTTACTGTGAGGTCATTGGGTGGGACTTGTGTGGCTATTTTGAGTGATTACGGCAATGCGGAGCAATAAAACTAGATAGCCATCATAAGTACCTAATTTTATATTTATTTTTGCGTACTTTATATGCTGCAGCTCCATCCAAAAAAAACTTTGGGATCTTTTAAGGCCCTTAAATCAAAAATACAATAGAACTTTAAGGGAGTTTATCCAAGTCAGCTGTGCGGGTAGAGCTATTTGACTTAGAGACTTTTGATTAAAATTTGGCTGAGGAGCAGAGGAGGTTCGGTTTAACTGTGACAACGGACTGGGAATCCAGCAAGTACATTAATTCCAGAATTACTTTTTACACGTTTTTGCTGAGAAGAAGTATTTTATTCTACCTCACAATATTTCAACTTTGGCTCTCTCACATTCTGGCAAGACTAATGGCTAAAATGAGTAGATTTGTTATTCATGGTTAGTGAAAATTCGCTGAATTCCCAGAGCAAGCACTAAGGGAACAGTCTTTTTACTCGATTCGCCTTTGACTATAATTCGTATGAAACCAAGCGCAGTTTCAACCGAGAGTTGAACGATTGCTTTTTAACTCGACAAGAGTAGAGGTAATAAGTGCAAAGGTTCTAGTTACTGTTGGGAAATTATTACCTCAGAAGCTAGCCTGTTCAAGGGAATGCACTGTAGTTATTTTAGCCTGCCCAGTCAAGTTCTTCGTCTGCACATGTAGGCTTCACACAAAAAAGTGACTGGTGCACCTTACACCCAGCTCCTCCTGGGTGCAGCTTCGCAAGCACTTAATACCTCCACAGGTTGGCATGGCAAAATAAAGTGGGGCTTAGCTACCTGTCTTCCAGCAATTTCGAGCGCTGCTATAACAGACAGCAGGTCTGCTGGCAGCACCAGAGTCTTTCGATATGTCACGAACGCACAAGAAGCAAAGCAATCGGTACCTTTGTCTATCTAATCATAAGCGGTATCCTTGGCATGGGCCTAGATACTAAAGCAGTTCTTTTTAGTGCACCAGCAGGATTTAAGCCCGCGTCAGCTTATCCTTCTCATCCAGAAGACATTTCGTGTAGAAATTATTATCTAATCGGACCATTCTTAGACCCCATGGCCGTCCTACCTTCTGATGGAGATTGCGAGGAAACTGTTGTCAGGACATCTCTGCCCGGAATGCTTGAAAACCTCTGGGTAGTTATTGTTATTACTTTTGTTGATTGATCTTGCATTCAGCTAATACATGCATTTGGGTGCAGAATAGCGCTATGCATTATAATGAAGTCAAAATGGCTGGACAACTGGAGTCGAGGCAATTTCCCTGAGCAGATACAATTTGATTGTATGGCGGGAAATCTGGTTTCGTATAATTTCTTAATTAACCCAAATGGTTATTATCCAGTAGGTTTTCAAGACTACCAGTTAATCGGATATATGAAGTGTGTTCACTCTGGAGGAGAACAACTTTTGGGAAAGCAAGGCTATGTGAAATTCAATGGAAAACATCAGCTCTGCTCATATAATTATGGGAAAATTCAACTACCAGTCCTTCATCACCTTAAACGAAATAGAGTGAGTACATCCAAAATAGTTGTTTCCGCCAATTCGTTTGAAAAGGAGAATGGAAATGAGAATGGTAAATTTGGCTAATCGAAAAACCAAATGACTGGATATTCATGAATACGCCCTCTTCACAATGCCCTTCCACTCAAATGAATGAGTGATGAGTTTTCCGAAAGTCTGCCAGGCTCTAAGACAAAACGAATGGCCGGTGGCAATTACACCCACTCCTTTGCCTATCATATGGAGTATCTGAGGGTCTGGCTTGCTGTTTCATTCCTTCCCTAGCTTCTAGTAGATGGACATATTAGAAGACAAATGAAGTGGACAAGGTCGAAACCGAATAGTTGTGCCCTCAACAAAATCGCTGGTATCTTTGAACTAGCATCATGTAGAGAGGCCTGAATTCACTAAGCATATCATCAGATGCCCAAGTTGGTGAATAGAGTTAAGCCATAAGAGGTAGGTATGATTGCAGCCTTCTTATCTTAAGGTTTGGTAGGCTTCTGTTATTCATGATTTCCTGTCCTGATACTGTCTGTCGCATAAAGACGAAAGCTAAAAATGAATTCATCAGGGTACGTCGAGAAAATCATCTCATAAATTCACAATCACAAGTCCTAAGCATTCCATCAGTATCGGATGAGGCTACGCTTTCAAAAGAAATGAAACTTGCAACTATTAATATTTCAGCTGTGTTCACCCTAATTTGCGTAAACTCATAAAGGACTGGTTGTTGAATTTCTCCACCATTATGTAAGTAGACATGACGTTTCCATTGGATTTCACATAGCTTTGCTTTCCAAAAAGGTGTTCTCATCCAGGGTGGACTGCAGTTTCGACCTCGCCTAGGTCTTATCAACAACCCC